AGAATGTTATTGTTTACCTGAGGCCCTGGGCCACATCAAGGAAACATCCTTGCTTGATGGCACTCTGTGCAGGTTGTCTCACACTTTGCTGGAGAATTAAATTCTGTCCACACTGGCAGTTTGCACCTGGTCTCTCCCAGCTGTGCCTTGGGCATTTATTTCCTTTGCTGAATTTAGACCATATCCTTTTTCTGTGATCAATTACAGTCACTAGTATAGTAACTTTTCTGAATTCTAGCATCCTTCTAATGAATTGTCAAATCTTAGGGGCCTTGAGACCCCTAACAATAGACATCTTTCCCCCTACCCTGAGAAGTGTTGTGAGCCTTCCCATGGAACAGATGAAGCTGGTCCCGTAGGTGGACTTGCTATCTCTGAGGTACTCTGCAGTGGGTGCAGGACATAGACCTATGACCCAGGGCTGCGTGTGGCCTCCTTCCCACACAGAGGGACCAGCTACAAACTGAGTACTCCCATGGGTCTTCATACTCCTGCAAAATGGTGTGTTTCAAAATCTCTGAGACCCATATACTCTAATTCAAAAGTGTGGGAAGTTGTGGGACAGAGGTGCAGAGATACAGCCTTAGGGCCATATACTATAGATATTTTAAGGTGTTGCTGAGATTTTTCATTCTATGTCATCCAGGGATCTGGAATGGGATGTCCTCATTCCTGTATTGTGATGCACAGTCAGCCTCAAGAGAGGGAGATAATCTGGGTGGGCCTAACCCTGCTGGCTATAGAAAAGGGTGGATGTCCAAGAGATTTGAATTAACTGTTATGGGTGACTGTTCCCATTATATAGCTAAAACTTCTGCTAGGGACCCCCATTATGTGGAGAAGGTATACGAATCCACCTCAACTGGATTCCAACTTCTTAGCCTAGTTCTTAGAGACGTTTTGAGCACTCGTGGATCCTTCACAGAGAGTCCCGTTGGCAGTCTCTAGGATGTCAAGTGTAGAGAAATGGTTGTTGTCAAACAACATGGCCCTTGATCACAGTATTCTAATTCTCTTACCTTCTCCAAGCTTCAGTTTATTCATCTTCCCGATGGTTCCATATTCACTCCAGAAAGCAGTCATGGATGCCAAGCACTGAGCACAGAGCCTGGTGCATTTTAAGCACTCAATATGGGTAACTTATGACTTGTCTATTTCTCATAGAGGCCCAGAGAGAGGAGGCACCTTTTCCATGGTCACACAGGGAGCTGGTGGATCCTTAAAGCCAATTTGTTCCATATCTACCTTCCATTTGGCTCTCTGACTTTCTGTACCCTCCCCATCCTCTCTTCTAGATCTTGTACTCCCCAGTGACCCCATTCCTGCCCTTCCATGACCTTTCCTGGAAGCATATCCTGCTTGCTTTGATATTTGTCTATCACAGTCTCTCTGATAAACTGGCTGGGCACAGACAGAACATAGATAGATGGTCAGTATATCTGGGCAAGTGCTGGTGAACTTCCCGTAGAATCAAGTGATCCAGGTGAGGTGGAGTATGCTGGCACTTTGACCCTGGATTTAGACAGTCACCTCATAGTCTCTCTGAGTCGCATTCGCTTCATCCACAATATGGGCTGATAACTGTTGTGAACTATATTCACTTGACACACATTTCCTGTACACCTACTCCATGTTAAGCCCTGGACTGGGGGGTGCTTGCTGAAGAAATATATAGACAAGGACCCAGGTGTCAGTGACAGAGGGAAAGGTAATCAAGAAGGCTCTCCAACAGAAAGATCCATGCCCTCTTGGCGGGTGTATGTTCTCTGCCTCAACCCTCCAAATCTCCCTTTCCCCATTTGCAAATGGAGATAGGTTCAGAAAAATTATTGTAAGAACTTTTAGCATTGCCTTTGGAGTAAGTAAGATTAGGGGCTTGGGGGACATAGATGATTATACCATCCTGCACAGAGTGGTGACAAAGTTAAGGTGATCATGTATCAGTTGTGTGGCTATGGACACTTAACAGTGTATAAGGGGGTGAGGCAGTAGAGTTGCTGTTCTGCCTCTCTCTGAGTATTGGGGTCTCTCTTGCTGTTTGTCTGCCTGTGTATAAGTTCCCCTGTTCAAGCATTAAAGCACTACAAAATCCATCAAAGGCTCCTCTTTTCTTTCTTTTTTTAAAAAGGATTTTTTTTGGCCCTCCCTGGTGGCGCAATGGGTTAGGACAAAGCACTGCAAGCTAGCCACAGCCGCTTCAGTGTGAGTTCAACCCTGGGCCCGGAAGGTGATCCACATGGCGCATCAGACCTCCCCTGACCTGCTCGCTGCTCCTCTCAGCAGTGTACTTCGTGGATCTGCCTGTTCTGCTCCCTACTCTGTCTCTGGTTAAGCCTCTCACCACGCCTGCACATCTGGCTTGTTCCCTGGTTCTGTATGAATAAATAAATAAATACTTAAAAAAATTTATGTATGCACATAAGAGCTGGGATGTTGGCCAGAGGCTAGGGGGGAGGCTCACTAGAAACAGAGCCTTTACTAGAAACAGAGTAGAGAGAAGAACAGACAGATAGACTGAAATACACTGCTGAGTGGAACAACAGGTGAAACAGGAGAGGTCTGCTGTGCTAGGTAGGTCAGCAACCTGGCCAGGGATCAAACTCAGGCTGTTAAGGGGAAGGATGTCCTAAAGGAAACACTGCAGAGTCTTATGGACTCCACCCCCTACTCCAGCTTTCTGTTATGGATTCCACCCCCTACTCTAGCTTTCTGGACCCTACACACTACTCCAGTGATTGAAAACTACAACTCCCAACAGTACCAGGGAGAGAACTGTAGGACTCCAGGGCGAAGCTAGCAGGAATGAATTCTGGGGCATTTTGGGGGGATAAATAGGGCGTGATTGCAGTTTGGGGGTGGGGGGCCTGGCTTGCTCAGGCTCTGGCTCTCTTGCTAGCTTGCTTGGGAAGCAGCTATCCGGACCGCGTGACTTGGTATGTTCAGTCAGCCTAGCCATAAGGTATTGCAGTTAACTTTGTATCTCGCTCTCTTTCCCTGTGTTGTTTCTTATTCCTTTCCCCTTTTGTAAATAAACCTGTTATTGACCCTTTTGTGTGTACCTGCAGTTGTGAGCTCGAGAGTGAGGCCCCACAGACAGGCGGCCCAGTCCACTCTGGGCTACCCTGTAACAAGGCCACTGTGACTGGTGATTGCTTGATAGTGCTATGTCTTTAACCCCTGTGCCACCAAGGAGGCCCCACCAAAAGCTCCTCTTTCTGTCTGTGAGGACTGACAACCTGCCTGACCTACAATGGTTGCAGGACACTTCTTTACCTCAAAGTCTTCATCCTGTGACCACTATCTGTGATTAAGGTGAAAAAGAGGACCAAATAAATAAATAAATAAATAAGATGACTCAGGTACTCTCTTCAGTCTGGGAATCTGGGAGGAACTTGCCTGGGTAAACCAGGGCTAGTCCCCAGCCTTAGTTACCCCACCTATAAAAGGAGAAGTTGATAAAAAGGCAAAGTCCATGTGGAAAAGTCTATTTCTCAAAAGGTGAGACATAGAGTTACCATATAACCCAACAACCTCATTCCTATGTAGAGATCTAAAAGAAGGGAAAACATGTGTCCATACAAACATATATGACAGTGAAAAAGTGGAAACAACCTAAATGCCCATTAACAGTTGGGTGGATAAAAAAATGTTCATTGTACAATGGAATATTACACAGTTATAGAAAGGCACGAGGCACAGACACATGGATGAATTTTGAAAACATGATGCTGATTGATACGATTTTTAAAAACATTTATTTATGGGGTACAGGCTAGAGGTACAGAAGTGGCTAGAGGATTCACCACAGATAGAGTGGGGAGAAGAACAGGCCGATCCACTGAAATACACTGCGGATGGGAGCAGTGGGTGGGTCAGGAGAGGTCTGCCATGCCATGTGGTCTCCTCTGGGGCAGATGGGAATCAAACTCATGCTGAAGTGGCTTTGGCTTCTTAGTGCCGTGCTTTAAGCTGCTGCGCCACCATGAAGGGCCCAGTGCTGGTTGATATGAAATGGCCAGAATAAGAAAATGTATAGACACAGAAAGTAGGTTAGTGGTTGGGGTAGGGACTATGAGAGTGGGAAGGCCTGGGAAGTGACTGCTTTAGGTTTTGGAATTTCCTTTAGGGGTGATGAAATTGTTTCTGCTAGCTAGTGGTGGAAGTTTTGAAAGTACTTTAAGTAGTTTAATTTTATGCTATATGGAATGTTTTTTAAAACATCCCATGTTTTTTAAAATGGGAGAGGTGGACAATCACTATCAACTCTTGATGTTTTATTCTACTAAAAGTCTGCTTCTCAGGAACAAGGTTTATGAACTGTCCCCCCATCCCCAGCAACCCCAGCAGCCCAGGTGAGACTACCACGCCAACCTTAAAGCACACCCCACCAGCCCAACCCAGCATCCAACGCGCGCTAGGTTTGCATAGGCACGCCCTCTCACGGAAGCAGCCAGCCCCGCCCACCACGTGTTTTGCGTTGGGCCCTCCCTCTCCACGCCCTCGCTGCAACTCCCTGCTGATGCCAAAGACGGAAGTCTTGACGATACTTCATAAATAATATCTCACGTCAGTGGCCCTTGAGGCGGGGCTTTGGCGATCAGGCTGAGTCAGGGATATGAATAATACATAAGAGGCGGGACCGAGGAGGGAGCGCGTGTCGGGGCGGAGTCCAGGCATGGAAGTCACCGCCTCTCAGGGCCTTGGGAGGTCGCGGGGGGCCGGGGGAGATGGGAGAGAGACAGCCTCGTTCATTAATATAAATAGCACCGGGCCAGTAGGGACGTGACAAACCACGTCTGATGGATAATGCAGCACTTCGGCGGGGAGTGAGACTCAGATGACGGGCCACACTGGATCCCGAGGGGGCGTGGTCACCCGCGGTCATGAATAATGCAGCACGTCAGCGGGCGACGGGGCGGGGCGGGGCGGGGCGGGGCGGGGCTGGCCCGGCGCATCGGTGCTGGAGCCGAGGAGGGGGGGCGGGGAACGATGGTCGCAAGATGGCGGCGCTGAAGGAGGCTCGGAGTTACGGGCTGTCGTGCGGGCGGGTCAGCGACGGCAGCAGAGTGTCGGTGTTCCACGTGAAGCTCACCGACAGCGCCTTGAGGGCCTTCGAGAGCTATCGCGCCAGCCAGGTGAGCCCTTGGGGTCAGGGTCCGAGGACCGGCCTCACGCGCCCCCTACACTGTGTCTGGGCCGGGGGAGTCGCGGGGCGGGAGTGCCCGAGTTGGCGGGGCGCAGTGTGGGTGGGCGCCTGTTTGACTCAGAACGCTTACCGCCGCATCTCCTATCGGCCGCGAGAGGCGACTCTGGGACTGCCGAGGGGCCCCAAGTTGCGCGTCCGGCTCAGGCGTCCGTGTTGGCATCTGGGGACCTCCGGCAGCTAGCCTTGCATCCCCCGGCACCCGGTCAGGAACTGGTCAACCTACCTGGTTGGGGGAAAGGTGTGTAATGGTGTTCGCGCCGCGGCTGGGGGAGATGGTTTGGGGTCTTCTTAATCCCCCTCGGGGTGGTGTGGGGGTCACTGTCCGGACACCTGTGGGGGCCTTGTTCCCCACCTGTTTCTGTGCTGGGTATCCCTCGTGGATTCTTCCATTTAAGCTTCTTCAGGGTTCCTTAGAAGGGGGAGTTTTGGCTGGATCTGACAGCTTGTTCTCAGCTGCCCGCCTCCCTTTCCCAGGTGACCCTGTCTCCACCTTTGGAGAGTGGAGTTGTTTTTTTTTTTTTTTTGAGGGGGTGGAGGTGCTGCTTTTCTCCAGGTACATGTGCGTGGGGAGGGGGTGGGGGTGGTGTCTCTGGTATGGTGCCCTTCCCAGATCCCGAGCCCTTGGTGGGCACCAGGAAGGGTAATCTTACCACTGCACCTGGCTACTGCCTCTTAAACTTTTCAAGGGCCGATTTGGGCCCAACTGGGGAAGTGGTAGGTGTTTCAGTTCTGCCACCTGTAATGGGGCCTGGGGAGGAAGGCCTGCTGTGTACTTTTTTTTCCGGCCTGACTTTGGGGCACATCTGGGGCCCTGGTCAGAACCCTGCTGCTTCCCATTTCTGTTTATGTCATGGCGCCCTCCGCCTGTGCTGGGACAGAAGTTGCAGGTGCCTAGTGGTCAGGTCCTGGGGGGAAGTGGTTTGGGAGCTTGTTTCCTGCTTGCCTCAGGGGAGTCTGGTGTCAGGCCCGGGAAGGCCCAGTGTGTGTGTGTGTGTGTGTGTGTGTGTGTTTGTGTTTATGTATACCAGGGATGGGGGGGGGGCCTCGGGCAGTGAGGAGAGAGAGACTAACTAGGAAGGAATGTGGTTTCTTCCTGCCCGGGACTTGTTCAGCACCATTAGCTAAGCCGGGAATTTCTTCCCCTGTTTGGTTCCCACCACTTTTTGTGTGCCTACCCTTCTAAGCTTCTTCCTACTGTTTTGGACTATTTTCTTCCTGTGCAGACGTCTATTTCTCACTCATAGAATGGGCCCCTCACCTTTTTTTGAAGAATCACCCTTTAACCATTGGCTCCCCCAAGATGAAGTGAAGGCAACCCTGCAGGTGAGGGGGAGGAGGAGGCCTGAGCCTTCTTTCCTGGTGGGTTCCAGCCCTGAGTCTTTTTCCCTGAGTGATTCTGTCTTGTGCAGGAAGGCAGGCTTTCCTAGAAACAGCTAGGGGAGAGCTCCTGAGTCATGTAAATGAGGTGAACTTGGTACCTAGTCACTGCTCTGGGAGCCCCGCCTTCCTGCCTGCTGCCCTCACTGGATCCAGCTGTCAGGAAGGCCTGCCTGTGAGTCCACCTTATGTGGTCATGCTGCTATATTTAATTTGGGTGTTGGTTACATCCCCTAACTAAGCTGTCTCTTCCTCATGTGGGAATGAAGGTAGAGCACACTGTCCCATGCCAGCTGTTTAGTGTTGACTATCCAGGAAGGCGCCCTTGAAGAATTTTTCCAAGCCTATTTGATGCAACTTGACCTGTCAGGCAAAATTCTGGGGGTGATTCAAATTTGTGTTTTCCTCAAAACTTGGCTGGTAATTTAAGGCACTTGGCAGTTTTTGTATTTTATCTTCCCCATTAGGTAGTGTGGTGGGCTGAGTTAAAAGTAGGGTGCCTTAGGTGCACTTGCTGCTTTTGGGTGGTGGGCATGGGAAAGGCGGCTTGAGTAACTCCACTGCCAATAGCAACTTGTGGAGCAGGTTTTATTTTTAATTTTTATTTTTTTTTAATTGCAAAAGGGGCATTTACAAAGTCAGATGTGAAGTGGAACTTCTCATGAAATGTTCTGCTGCTATAATGAGCATGAGACCTGACTGTTGGAGCAATCTGGGTGGAACTACCCACTGCTTTTCCTTCAGAGGGTCCTCACATCTGAGCTGCCTTTGTGTGGGCCAGCCTGGAAGAGCTGAAATGTAGAACTGTAGAAATATATTAGGTTTTGTTTTATTTTGAGTTAGAAATGCAGCTTTATTTGTCATTTTCTAAAAAAGCTTTTTATCTTTACCTGGGACTCCTAGTGGTTTCTCCTTGAATATGCAAATTCAAGGGAGTCTTAGTAGCCTCTCCTGGGACTATGATAGGTTTCTTCTGGGAGAGAACAGAAGTGTGTATGCTTTCCAAGATCTTGGCCTAAGCCTCCCAGAGAAGTGTCTGTGACTATTCTGAGGAGGTGACCTTCTCGTGGCACTGCCTCTACATCTTGGATTTGGTGGTTTCTGTTGCTGGACAACTCTCTTAGACTATAAACTCCTTGGCCAGGAGAATGTTGCTTTTCAGGAAAAACTAAGGCCCAGGAGGGCCCAAGAAACCTAGTCCTTGGAACCTATCTGGGTTTGAATCTTGACTTCCTTGTTAGAGACTTGGTGAGGACTGAACCCCTCCTTCCTGCCAGTCCTGATTCTCCTGTCAGGAATATGCAGTCCCAGTGGCCTGTCCTCTCTCCAACTCCATTCCTCCTTCCAGGGCCCTGGGGTCCTGTGTAGTCCTCAGTCTTGTGCTTTCAGCAATGGGTGCTGGTCACCTGGAGGTGGTGTGATCCCTGTGGAAGATGGACGTGGGCGCCGGCATCTGCAGAATCTGATGGAGGGCCTGGTCTACAGGGCCGCTGCTTGGGGGCTGGGCTTCCACAAGTGAGCATGATGGACCTGAGTGTCATCAGCTGACATTCTAGAGGCAGGAGACAGATAGGCAATAGGTTGGTACAGAAATCAGCCTGAGGTCAGTATCAGGGAGAAAATAAAATGAACAGTATAATGATGAGGAATGTGATGAAAGAGGGATATATAATGATTGAGGGGATGTGAATGTTGGGGGGATGTGATGATGTTTCTTACGAAAGGATACTCATTGGGAGGTGACAGATCTAAGGTTATCTAGCAAGGGGTCTTGTGGGGAGCAAGAGGGTTATAGCTTACAATATTGACAGTCCTGGAGACATGATGGGGTTGGGGGAAGTGTTGAGGTGGCATGGAGGGTAGCAATGGGCTGTGTCCCTGAATAGTATGTAGGAAGAGGGCAGAAGGCCTGCAGGGAGGGCTCCAAGCTTGTTCTGGACCCATGCTAGGGGTGAGTGCTGCAAAGGTGGAGGCTGTGTGGGTGTCAATCTGGGCACATGTAACAAGGGAGCTTGTTAATTTAGTCCCTGTTCTTCCCACAGATCATATCACCTTCCTGGGGGCGGGGTGGGGTGGTTGTGCTGCCAGCCCTAAGCAGAGCAACCTCTCTTGCTAGCCATATGCACTATCTGGCACTGTTCTCTCTTGGGACCAGGTCCCTGTGAGCCCTTTCTCCAGCACATGTCATTCTCTTGACACCTTTGGCTGGAAGGCTGTTTGTTGTTCTCTTTGTGGACAGTTGAGGCCCTGAGGGTCAGTGTTGTTGACCCCTGATGCTTCTTGAGTTTGAAGGGAGTTGGAGCCCCTCCCACAGAGGGAGTGTCTGTGCTGTGCCTTTCCCAGAGGAGAAAGCCTGAAGGTGCCTGTGATCGCATTCTATGGCCCATCAGTGTGCATGAACACTCCCCCTTCACCCTCCCCACTCCTAGCCCCTGCTTGTGTCTGTCAGCTCTGAGCCTGGCAGATGCTGGGAGTCACCTTAGGGATGTCCTGAGCTGGGCTGGAATGTGTGTGTGGCCCCAAGTCTGTCACCTATGAAGGGCTGTGGGCAGGCTGGGCACTGGGGTCAGGTTGGGCTGACCCATGAGCAATAGCAGCCCGGTCTCCTGCCTCCTGCCTGCTGCCTGTAGGGTTAAGTCTGCTTGTGTAATTTAAGGTGCTTGCTGATGGTTCTGGAGTAGGTGTGCCCTTCCAGATGGCGCATGTTTCATGGCATGGAGAGCCTGGGGTGTGGGGATTGCTGGCAGTGAGGCTGCATGTGAGGCCCATAGCCACTGTGACCCTTGACTCCGGCTTCCGGCTGCATCTCTCTTTGCCAAGGTGATTGTGTGTAAACAGCAGGCTGCTTGCGGAAACCCACCCTCTGTTGACTCATCTTGAGGCCAGAGTTCATCACCTTTGAAGCGGTTTTGACATCAGACCCAGATTGTGACATCTTTGTGGAGTCCTTGGAAAATAAACTCTTTCTCCTGTACCACATCCTCAAGCCAGAGCAGACCCTGCTTCTGCAGAATTGCCTCTCCTGAAGCAGAAGCCCCTCCCTGTACAGCACTGCTAGCTGGACGTTCATTTCAGCACCCTCCCCCCACCCCCATCTGCCTTTATGAGTTTCTCCTTGATCTGTGGATCACAGGGCCTGAATTGTCTGAGAGCCACCTCCAGTGAGTGGGACTGCTTTGCAGTCACCTAGAGCCCGAAGGGACACTTGAGAACAATTCTCCAGACAACCTCTGACCTCAGACAATATCTGACTATGTTGAGAGCCATAAAGTGCAGTTGTCTTGTCACTTTACTTTTTAATTTAAAAAGCTGCTGTCCATACTAGCCTCCCAGAAGGGAGACTTCCCGTACCCACCAAGTGGCTTTATGGAAATCTGAGACTGATTATCTTCTTGGGAAGGGGAGTCTGTACCTTGAGGAGAGGGAGATATGCTTATTTGTGAAATTTTTGGGATCACTGACTCTTGTTAAAAGTGGTGTGTGTGAAAAGTTTATTTTTACTGTGAAAGTGGCACAGTTCAGTGTGGAAAACTTGCAGAATACCTGAATCCC